AGTCTGCAGTTCACACCTCTGTGAACGCTAGCAGCCTCCCCCTTTAGTCTCTGTCATCTTCTGTTCTTGACAAAAACAAACAAACAAGACAAAACACTCTTCACGCTGGGAATTTCGACATTCTATCCTAATCGCCGTTTTTTTTTTTTTTTTTTTTTTTTTTTTTTTTTTTTTTTTTTTTTTTTTTTTTTTTTTTTTTTTTTTTTTTTTTTTTTTTTTTTTTTTTTTTTTTTTTTTTTTTTGCCAGTATCGTCATTACTTTATCCATCACACGTCCAGTCAATGCATACATCCACACACATTCATACACAGATTGCTGATAATGGGTCTCACGCGCAACCTATCTCGAGCCTCCATCACCAGCAAGATGACGTCATCATTTTAAAGGAAACAGTTCCTTTTGTTTTTTCTTGGACTGGATTGACTCGCTGCAATCCTTTTAGGCTCAGGACTTCTCATTCGATCAGTGTCCCATATAAGTGAATTTCTCCCCAGCCCATTATAATCATGGAGAAAAACACTTTGCGACTGTTTTCAGTAAGAATATTTTATAGCGCTTTAAAGTTCAATCTCTCAGGCCTGGATTAAGGAGCCGATTTGTTAAATCAGGAACTCACAAAATACCAAAATATCACCACCGGTGGATCACACCTCTCAGATGTTCTTATCTCAGTGCACTGTAACAAAGCAAAAACAAACGTAACCAATTAAAATACTCATATAATAACAATACTGGGGCCCATTGCAAACATGTCCAAGTCATAAAACATCTTTCTCTCTCTTAGAGAAGAAAACAATCCAAACCTCACTGATAAAATCACCTAGTGTCAAACAAAACCAAGTCAACCAAAATTCAACCAAAAAGTTTTCTCCCTCACCGGGACATATTGTGCATAGATGACAGGTACCGTAACTCCTTTTCTTTTGCACTACAAAAACATGTTGATTGCCTTGATCAATAGTGGACACTGGTTCACACAAACGCTTTGCTTTGGCAGAAACTTAAACACGCAGATCTAAATCAACACAACCTTTTCATATTTTCTCCAAATAAACTCACACCGTTCATTCCATCATTTTCACTCTGTAGCCACTGCTCCTTGTTAGCTGTGTGAAGCACAGTAAACAATTCAGTGGAGGCCTTGAGCCATAAACAGACATCACACACAGACATGTTTTCATACCAAAACTGCATAGACCCTGTCCCCTAAATCTACAAATGCCCTTGTGACATGAAATCCATTTAACCAATAAATAATCATGGGTTCTTGTTGTTGTAACCGACTCTGTATTTGAATGTTTGTGTGCAGCATTTGTTAGTAAAGCATTCTTCATTGCATCAGCCGTGTGTGTATCACTTCTCAGTGAATTGAATCAGCATTTCAATTTGTGCTGTGTGTGTCATTCTCACCATCCGTCGTAATTCTAGTTTCTACTGAAGTGGCAGTAGATGTGTGTGTTGTGTGGGTGTTTGTGTTCATCACTTTCCTGTTCTGGTGTTCTGGGTAAACCACGGCCTTAGAAGCTGCCCTGGGGTCCTGCCCTCCTCCATTTCAGTCTGTTTGCGTCCATTGGTGATGCTGCTCTAAAGTTCTGTCCATACTGGTTCTGGCCCCGATTGAGGCAGCTACCTTTTCTCCAGTATCCTGCATCTTCTCCTTATTTCGCTCCTCCTTAACTTGACCCTTTTGCTTCTGCAGCTCCTTCAGGGTTTTGATACGCAGCTCAACTCGTCTGGATGTTCGTGCCAAGCTTCCAGTCTACGCTGCTGCGCCAGCTCTTCCTCTGTCTCTCCCAGCAAGTCAAGGTTTTGTTCAGTCAGAGTTCAGCTGCAGCCATGCTGCTCGTTCTGCTTTGTTGTCTCATCTCCTTGCTGAGGTCCTGAGCCTGCCAGAAGCTCCACAGTGTCATCGACTCTCTGAAGTCTGGGAGTCTGAGCTGCTGGGATCTGCCTAGACATTCTCTTCCCTGTCAACCTCCAGCCTCCTAGTCGCAGATATCACATGTATGAGGAGTCCGTTTCTATGCTTGTCAGAGTGCGCTGCTGTCCTTTGTTGCAGGTGAAACGGCTGACATCCAGAGGGTGTATAATGAGAGTCTGCAGCAGCAACCTCCCCAGTGGAAGACCTCAGTGTTTGTTCTGTTAGCTTAACAAAGGCCTCAGGGCTTTCTGGGATGCTACATCTGCGCCGGCAGGGCGCAGAGCTTCATGGCTCGATCCGCTGCACTTCAGAGGCTCAGTCGATCGTGTCCCATCCAGGTGGCCATGTGTTGGTTCTCGGCGACTCAGTCGGAGCGAGAAGAAGCTACCAGAGCACGAACCATCCCCGTTCATCGCGCGGAAATCACTCTCATCTAGTCCAGAGCTCCGCATCGCTTGCTGGGACTCCGCTTGGTCATGCCATCCGACATCAGTTTCTGCTCTGATGTCTTGAGCTCTTCACTGAGGGACAGAAACCTCAGATCTTTTCCGTACACATCAGATTGAAGTCCATTGATGTTTCCCTTGCTTTGCTCCACGGCCTTCTGACGGCTCTGCTGTTCGGTCTTCTCAGAGGTCAGCTCCTGGCCGAGCCCCGACACCTGTGCCTTCAGCTTATTTTCTCCTGGTGCTTTTGTCCATTCTGAGGTGCCTCCTGACCTCAGTTACGTCCTCCTGTCTCTGGCACGCCCTTTTTACTGCCCGATCATCAGTGTTGGCCCGTCACTGTCCTGCACAGCTTTTAATGCAGCGTGGTTAAGTCAGCTTGTCTTGCTCGGCCTCACTTTTCCTCCGGGCTTAATGGGCGTCTCGTCACAGCTCTGTCAGCTGAAGCTGTCTGGAAATCTCCCCCGTGTAATGAAACGGGCCTTAGGATTTAACTGCTCTCCGTCTCCGCTGCATAAGATCGTTTTCCTGCAGCGCTGTTGACCTCTTCAGTTGTTGTTGTGGTGTCCAGCTGCTATAGCATTTGGTCAGGGTCACATCACAAGATGGTGGAGGAGAGAGCAAAGATGGTAGGGAGGAGAGGCAGGAGTCCAGGGTCAGCCTCGGCTTTCTGGGCGACAAAGCAGCCTGTAATCAACATAAAGAGAAAAAGACAAAGAAAAAACAAAACAAAACAAAACAGAACGAAAATAATGATGTGTTTTGGCTGTCGTCACTCAGAGAGGGGAGAAACACCGGGGCCGGCCCTGTGTCACCTTCTCTCCCCCTTTTTTGTTTTTTCTCAATATAAATACATATTCAACTCAAACCCACCAAGCTGACAGGACAACACAGGTACATGTTAAAATTCTTAAGATCATGTTTAAAGCACAAAATGGACTTTTCTTTCATTCAGTAATCACTTGTATTAATCAATCAGCAGAAAACAGTCACAATTTGACTCTTCTAACCACTAAATTTGTCGTGTTTCACTGGTTGGTCAGACCAGTTCTTTTATTTTTTTTTTTTGAAGTTAAGTTGTTGTCCTGCAACCCAGAGAGTTTATTTGTTAGTACTGGACAAACTTTATTTTTAACGGCGGGTGTGATGTTAAGTTTCACTGCTTTAAACTTGCTGGTAAAGTCTTCACTACGTTCATGGGTGTAAGCTGTTTCTTCATTGCTGTATGTGCGTTTATAGGCTATAGTTCTTTTTTCATAGGGTTACTAACTTTCCAATCTTCTTGTGTGTGTTTTTCATTTTTAGCCGGCGCTTCCACCCACAAGTCGTGGGAATTTTATGTAACTTCTATCTCTTTAATTCTGCTGTGTGTCTTTCAGGCGACTGCGTTTGTCATAAAGTCCCGCTTGTTGGGATGCCAGGCCGTGCCTATCAACACACTAGAGATTTATTTAATATCATTCTTCATCACAATCTTACTCTGCCGACTGAGTGCCGGTCTTAATCATATACATTTGTCTCTTCTATATCAAAACCCAGCCGAACATCCAAACATTCAGCGATAGTCATTCAAAACCTTATTTGTAATATTATAATCAGCAAAATCCGTTACAGGCATGTATCATTGTTTGCAAATCATAATTATAAAACTCAAAAACACGCTAAACAGGAACAAAAGTCCTCTGTGCGCTTCACAGCACCACTCATTTGCATGTTCACACACAGTCTAAAAATAGCTCGCAGCGCTGCAGCTGCACTGTCTACACACAGGTCACACAAAGCTCAGACAAAACTCTATTATTTTATATTACAAAGACGTCTTATATTTACAACACTGCAGGCCTGACAGATTCAGCACCTAACAAATTTCGACAAATTTAAATAACGGGTCTCACCGAAGAAAGATACTCTTTGAACTAATATCTTTACTTGGAGTTCGCCTAATCCACAACTACGACAACCAAATCGATCAACCACATTCTTCATATTTGTATCAACAACATATCTGACCTGGAACAGTTTCTGACCTAATTTCTAAATCCCTAACTCAATTTAACTTAGTTCCAAAAAAGCACATGACACCGTTTCGAAACGGTGAGGTGAACCAACTTAGCTTGTTCTCGGAGATGCCCAGCTCCCACAGTACCAAACTGAACTACCCTAGGCCGACAGGCATTGGGCGTCCCACGGCCGGAGGAGCGTACCTCGGGCAATGCGCTTCTTAGCAACTTCTGGTGCCGTCCTATAAAATTTTTGCCTACACAATTTGAACAACATTACCTAAACACGACTAAGGCGTCCACCGAAGGTCAAGGAGCCATACCACTTTTATAATCAAAGACCAGATCTGTATAGCCTTCTGGACGCCTCTGTAATCAAAAATACGACCAATTCCCTACCAAACTACTTGAGCCTTTACTCAATATCCTTAGGGACTCAAACCCAACATTTTACTTTCATATTTTTCAACTTCATTAAATACTCTTAAGCAACTTTAACTGCATAACACACACGGATCTCATCAAAATCAAAACAGACCCTCTACCAGTAATTTCAGTGAGTAGACTTTAATTTATCATGTCCAATTTGGCACACTTTGGAAATAATTCAACAGGTAGTGCCTTACCTTTAGATAAGCCGGCTTATGCCCACTCACGTCAGACCACTGGCTTCGTGCCTGTCCGTTCGACAACCTCGGACCGTCCAAACCTTTAAATTCCACCCCAATACCACAGGACGAGCCCCCAAGCTGTTAGAGTTCAAAATATGGGGATGGAACAAGAGAAAAAACCACAATAACAACACTGGTCCGGCCGGGTTGAGTCAAACGATGATTTTAATGCATCACACGCGTGGGAGATGGACACTGTATGCAGACAGCCTCAGATCTCAAAAAGGTGGAGCATTGCTCAAACTCTTATAGCCTCTGGTGTCCTCCACCTTATCATAAAAAGCCTAAACATCACATAAAGCTAAACACTTTTCTCTCACACGGCGCCTAAGCTACGACCTTGGCTCCCTGTTTATCTGCTCCTGCTGAGATGGGGCAGAAAACTCCAGTTACTGTTCTCTTCTAATCAGACAAATAAGGCGATGACTTTCTGCAAACAGTATTTCTTATAACTAGAGTGCATCAAAAACAATATCATTCATCCACAATAAATCAGCAGTCTAATGTAATGCAAATCAGTTTAACTAATGCAATAGTTATCAGCTTCTTCTAATTCAGGAGATAATGCAAACTAAAACTACATAATAATTCACAATCTTTAATTAGGGGTATAACATGGCATAAAATAATATTAAATCTAACACTCACTAACGGCGCCCAGCCCCACGCACGGGGTGATCCGCGGTAACTAGTTAACGGAGATTTGCCCCGTTAATGCAGTTATGGCATTAACTTTACGCTGACAGCACTAAAATAGTAATCTTCAAATGTTTTCTTTTTACCGACCAGCTCCTCTTTGATAGCTGCCGTGTCCATCTTGTTGCCTGCAGGTGAAGCGATGGGGGAGGGGGAGTTGTGTTCAGTGAAGGAGAGAGGCGGAGTAACGCAGCGTAGAGACAAAAGTGGACGAAAGAGAGGCAAACTTGCGGCTCCACGAGTATAATTATAATGTAACATAAACTATATCGATATAAACGATATTGTTACATCTCATATAAAAATATATCAATATATTTAGAAACTCGATATGTCGCCCAGTCCTAATCACTTGTTCATCTATTTTGTTCCAGCTTCATTACTGGATGCATAGTTCTAATGCATCTGTGTTTTTAAGTTATTTAAAGTCTGTTTGATATGACTCTTGCAGACTCTAGTAGGCCTTCGTATTTAAAATACCCCCATATTTACTGCTCTGTAGCTGCTTCTCTGATCTTCCTCTCCCTCATGTTTGTGTGTTTAGTGGAGCTCGCTGGCCATGAGGACTCCACCACCCCGTTCACACAGAAACTAAAGCACACATTTTATTGGCTAAATGTGATTCGAACAAATTAAACGACATGGCAGCAGGTGCCCCCGAACTTTATTTTATTTTATTTTATTTAAATAGCGGCGGGGGATTGCTGCCGTTGGTCATGAGTGAGCCAGCATATTTTGTTTCGTTCGGTGGTATGGCGGCCACAGACTGCACTTCATGAAATACGCATAGGGGGTGTCGCAGAGGCTTGTCAGATATGAGCGCGCCTCTTTAGTAGCGAAGTTTGTGTCCCTGTGGCACGGCTGCCCCTCTGTTGGTCTTCCTTGGTCTCTTGTGTTCTGGGGGCCTCTGGATGTCTGGAGTTTTGATCTCCTCCATACCTGCTTCATGCCCTGGAGGACGGGGCTGTGGCCCCCCCACACCCTCTAGCAGATCATTACATGAAGGAACCTTTTAAAAAACAAGCGCGTCCATGCTCACAGGTGTACACACGGGTGATCACACCCACAAACTACACCCTTTTTGGCTCCTACCTCAAAGCACACTGTGTTCTGTTGATCTTATGTGCTGCACAATAATGTTTAATATTTAGTATTTACTGTCATATTCCCATATATCATTGTGATGTTGTTTATTCTATTACTCTTGTTCTCTTCTGCTTGTTTTCTTTTTTCTTTCTCAGCAGGTGATCCAGGTGATTGATATATGCTTTTTTTTTTTTTTTTTTTTTTTTCTGCTCATTCTGTTGGTTTTTGTTTTTTGCCCTTCTCCCCCGTCCCTCTTCTCAGCTGTTTCTCTTTCCCTCTTTCTTTCTCCCCTTCTTTCCCCCAGTCAAGTCTGTCCCGTATTCAGTAAGTGAAAATAAAATAAACAATAAAAGGTGAATCAAATGGACCATTACGGCAAGGCTGGGATGGTCAATTTGGTAAAGTAAATCCGTTGGGCATCTTTCTTTGCCTTTAGACAACAATTCTGATGGCAAAAGAGCCAAACGGGACAGGCAAAAAAAAAAAAAAAAAAAAAAAATAGAATAAACTTTGGTCTATAAATGTGTTTCATGATTTATTTTTAACTCCAACTGCTTATTTGTACGATGCTTTCATTTCAGAGTGCAATGAGAAATAAAAAGGATATTTTCAATAAAACTGTCACGATCCTGGGTCTGTGACTCAGTGTTTTCTGTTTTGTATTGTTAATCTTTGATTTCATGATGTATCTTTGTTTATTCTTACGTTTTGGTTCTGTGTTTTGTTGTACCTCTAAGTTCAGTCTATGTATTTCCTGCTTTGTTGTGAAGGTCCGTGTCTCATGTCAGTGTGTTTAGTTTGCGTTTCCTCTGTCTCGTCTTGTCAATCACTCCCAGCTGTGTCCTCCTTCTGTGTCTCATTCCCCTCGTTATCCCTCTGTGTATTTAAGCCTTGTGTTTGCCTCTGTTAGTTGCTGGTTCGTCTGCTTATCTGTCAGGGTCCTGGGTCTCCTGATCTAGTGGTTTCAGTTCTTTGTGATTTTTGTATTATGTCAGTTTAGTTTGTGAGTTATTCTATGCTTCCTAGGTTTTGATTCCCTGCCCCCCTTGTTTCTCTGTGCACTCTGTTCTGTGTTTAGTCTTCTCTGTCCATTTGTTCCGCCCTGTGTTGTTGCCTTCTGTGTCTCCCTCTGTGTAACTGTCTATATAGTGATGTGTTGTGGTGCTTTGCTCCCACCCCTTGTGTTCCGTGTTTTCGTCTTCCCTTCGTGTACTTCTTCATATTCGTGTACTGTTAGTTTTCCCGGTTTAGGTTTTTGCTTAGTTTCCATGCTCACCTTCGCCATTTCTGTTTGTATCACCATGTGATGAATAAACTCACTTGCATCTGAGCTGCCT